CTGCTGCTCAGCTCACAGGGGTTTGTAACTGCTATGACAAGGTTATGATTTATAATAATATTTAGAATGATTTATAATTCTATGATAAATCTATGATAAACATAATCCACTATTTAGATAACCCACCAGCAATCATCAGGAATTGAAGGCTTCTCTTCAGCTAGGTATAGACCTGAGCTGATGCATTCAGAGACCCACTGAACCACACTAAACTAGTCCTTCTTTATTTGACTTTGATTTTGGTTTTTTATAGTGTATGAGGTCCCAAAACAACTGTCTCATGAGGCACACACCTAAGGGACCTCTCCCCACAGAAGGGAAAAAGAGGATGCTTCCTCTAACTTAAAGGGTTAATTGACTAATACATTCCATATTCACACCAAAAATCGCCACTGAGGACCGACACACAAATGAGAGATTCCAGTCAGATGTAGTGCCTGAAGCAAACACTGAACTCTCTGCTTCAGATAACCCCAGCATCTGTGTATCTACCACTGAGAAAATTAGGATGTCACTCTTGGGTCGCACAAATGGAGAAAGAAAAATCTGAGAAATTCTCCTGTCACCTCTCAGCAATGCTTGTGCTTAATATTTTTCTCAACCAAAGAAACAGATTCCAGATCTTAGAAGTGACAGAGAATATAACATTTCATTAGATTTTCTCTGATAAAGAAAAAACCCAAAATCAAACAAAGAAGGACTATTTTAGTGTGGTTCAGTGGGCCTCTCTGAATCCATAGTGTGAACAAACTTGGAAATACTTGAAATCGTATAAATTTCAACATTTTGTCTACAAAATAGAAGAAATATATTTCAGAAGTACCATGTCATGGATTAGTGGCTCCTTCTGTTCTCAAAATGCCAAGAACAAGCCTACTGCCTCAACCTCTCTACTCAGCTGGAAACTTACAGTATTTGACAAAATTTGGCTGAGGCTTTCACAGCCCATCTCCTTATTGTATTTTCTCACTGTGTTTAACTGGACTTCAGCTTGACTTTGGCTTTTTTTTTTTTTATTTTAATAGTTCTGGCCAGCACTTAATAGACTTGACCAGGCAGCTTCCATACATAGAAAATACTGTTTAATGTAAATGGCAGAATTGCAGTAAAGCAAAAGAAAGAACATTTCCAAAAGAACAGAGTCCATATGTGATCATTTTTCTCAGTGCCTCAATTCTGAATTCTTAGGAGTGTCCTCTTGTGCTCCTAAAAGGGTGCCTCAGCCAGCTTCCTTTGCTAAAACAAGAGCTTGGACAACTGCCTTTTGCAGGTTCCAGAGAGTGAGTTTTAAGCATTGCCTATGGCCTTTGTTATGGATTGTTTGGTTTACAACATCAGCAAAACCAAATCCTGTAACTTTGGCAGGAGCCTGAAAACAGTGTCTTCACACCTGATCTGAGCTGTGACATATTCATCCCTACCAGTTTTACTGCTTCTCTTGGTTTGCATCTAATTAATGCAGTCCAGAGCAAATTTACAGTACCCTCACCTGCATAGCTGGGCAGGCAGCTCAGTAAGGAACATTTCCCACTTCAGGGGCTTAAAATCAGAGATAGTCAGGGATTAATGTACACATATATGGAGCAGCAGTTCCAAAAGTTTGAAGAGAAGTAAATGCACTTGTCCAGATCAAATGCATATTTAAGCACAGTATCTCAACAGAGACAATACCCAAAATAATGAGAATGAAGTATCTAAACACATTATACGCATCCATAAATTAAAGAAATCCTGTTGACTCACTGATGATTCAAAACTGCCCAAGCCAGCTTGAAGTTGGTCAGGTGAAAAGCCCAGCTCTTGGAAAAATAAATGTGAGGCTCCTCCCTCAGGTGCTCTGAATTGCTGTGGGATCGAGTCACTGTGCTAGATGTACTGTATTAATCAGCACAAAGCCATTGCAGTGCCTCATGGAGCTCTGAATCACTACTTTCTGATCAATGGATAGATTGCATGGGATTAACCCTAATCAGGCAATTTAAATAATGAGAATCTCTCCATCCAGCATTGAACTAAGCCACACAAAACTGTGCTTCCCCCACATCTCATCCTTCCTGGCTAGAGAAGTACTCAAATTAAGTAAATCACTGTGCAAGAAATATACACTTTCATTGGTTCAGTAAATAATGAAAAATAAGGATGGGCTTAATTTCATAGGTAGTGCAAAGATACATATTTACAAACTCCAATTTAGTGTAAAACTAAGCAAAAAAGTCTAGCAGTTTAAAAGAATCTGTGTTCACTCCCCCCATATTTTAGACATCCTCCAGATCCTGTAGTTATGACATTTCATTAGACATGTGAACAGTTCAGTTTTATACTAAACATGTTCCATTGAAATGCAAAGCAATATATTCATTAAAAGATAAATTTGTCTCAAAGCTTAATGTTGATCCATTTATTTATCATCATATGTCTTTGTGAATATATAAATTTATTTTAATGTGAGGGATTTATTTTTCTCAAATTAATACCAAAACTGAAGATGGATAATAAATATATAAACCCTCATATACACTGCATAGCTGCTAAAATTAAATTAAAAAAATAAGAACCTATTGAAAATATTTCCTTTAAGCAATTGTCTACATTTAATATTTAAGCCTTAGGGAAAAATTAAAGCAACAACATTTTAGTGCACAACATTCTCATAAAACATGGATGAGTGCTTCACCTCTGATAAGACAGCATGCAACAGGAATTTACTGTATTAAGGTTCTAGAAGATCAAGGGACAAAGAAAATCATGTTCAGAAAGATGAGAAAGATGTTGATTAAAAAATAAAAATAAATCCCCAAACAAATCAACAACAGATTTTAAAATAAGCAGTCATGTTGCCCCATATAGTCTTCAGATGTTACTGGCGATAACATCTCGAGTTCTATTTTTTACCTCTATGTTTTTCTGCTAGTCTGAAACTCGCCTTCATGCATTTCCAAATCAGATGGATAAAGCACTCCCAAGCAAGCAAAAGGGAGGAATCAGATCAAAGACAATAAAGCATGACAGAAAAAGACAGAAATAGCTCATAATAATAAAACACAGGAAAACAATCTACTTTTCATCAGGTTGAGTAGTCCATGGATTGTAGGGGAAGATGATTCTCAGATACCAGCATGGAATTAAAATATTGTAGGAGGATTGAGAAAGCAGAGAGAAACCTCACATTTTACTTGAATGTATACAATTGCTCTTCATGGTTTGTTAGTACTGATGTGCCATAGATAAAAATACAGCTGTACAGAAAGCAACTATCTTATAAAAAAGATTTAAGATTTCATTATGATATAGAATGACTTTTTTTTCATAATTAAAGCACTGTAGAGAATGACACCTACATTTTGAGACGTGTAGGAAATCAGCATCAGTGATTAATCTGAATTAGTTCCAAATTTTAAATTAGTTCTTAATTTTAGTTAACGACTCCCATTTCAGAAGACATTTTCCTTCAGAATCCATTTAAAATAAGTAGGTCTGCTCACAGACACACTACCTTGAATAAGCAAACGAAAGTCAGTATTCAATCATTGCAGCTTTATGCAAAAACAGCCCCTTCCCCTGTAATATAATGCATATTTGCCAATATAAATTTAGCTCAAGTCATATGAGTGGGATATCCATAAAGAATGGGGTAAAACTAAACCCTCAGGGTTCTGTTTGCATCCTTGCTTGGTTTTCCCCAGAATAATACAGTGAGCTTCACGCTTTTTTTTGGCATTTTATTTGCTTTCTGTTATTGTGTAGGTATGCTGCTTGAACTAGTTTCACATGAGGCAGTTTGATGCCTAGGGGAAGCAACGACTTAGCAAATTCTTCTTGCTAAATTTGTATATTTGAATGAGCTCTGCAGCTTAATCACTGAAATGAAATTGAAACATGGCTCAGCTATTGCTAATTTTTAGTGAAACAATATTAAATAAAAAACCAGTAATGATGTCTTCATGGTTTTTAATAATGAAGGCATCAAAATAAAGCCCTACAGTACTCTGGTGACCTCAGTCTGGATATCCAAAGCCACAGATGATAACTCCCACCTCTAAGAAATTGCAGAGGAATTTTGGTCATTACGCATACAGGGCCCATTTGATCCCTGTTTCTGTTTGTGACCACCCACCGTACTCCTGTGAAGATCTGGAAGTGATGCTGAATGAGTACACATCGAAATGTCTGTCAAGATTTTAAACCAGGCAGTGTGGCTAACCCAGGAGTGCAGACACTCCTGTAATTTCAGATTGCTTCAGAAAAGTCAGGCTCCACAGAAGGGAGGAAGACAAACTTAGAAAAGTCTAGAACCTTAAAACACAAGATGAAACATCACCAAAGGCCAAGATAGACACAGAATTATTTCTGTGCAGAAATGCAGAAAAGGCAATGAATCTAACAGCAAGATATGAAATGCATTAAAAAGATATAAAAGGGAGGCAAAAGAAAGCTCCACGGACATTTAAAACTGATCTGAGGATGGAAACAGCAACGAGGATTGAAACTGCAGGCAGAAAAAAAAAGAGTGAGCTTTTTTATGGGTTCACAATGTTCTCTGTACTCCTGCTTGCAATTGCACTCTGGGGTTGCAATCAGTCATCAGGAACATCCGAAAAGAGTAATATCTACTGTAATGGAAGTTATTCCTTTCACGCTGTATGATGCGCCTTTTCCATGATCCAGAATTAATTTCTTCTACATCAAAAGTACTCAGATTATACCACACTAGTGTTTAAGCACAGTGAGACTCATAAACCTTAAGAAGGACAATTTAACCACAGTTAAATAAAAGTGGGAATAAGCTTTAAGCTCATTTTAAATATAAGATACATTAACATTTATTTCGCACACAGGGTTGAGCATTTTGAAAAGTCATACTCAACAAATGGAAGTCTATGGAGAGCCCACGTATTCTGTCTGTGTTTATAATGAGAAGCTAATCCAACTTCTCAGACTGCTTCTCAAAAATCACTCCTTACTTCTCCTTCTCTCCACTGCTGCTTCTCCTTAGCTCTTACCTTCCAGACTCAAATGTGAACCATGTGGAGTCGCGTCCGTATCTCCTCAAAGAGCTCAGAGGCCACATGACCAGCTTGACCTTGGCATTGTGGATGTCCCAGAGATAGATGTTTTCATGGGTGATCTGCATCGTGCATTCCCCATAGATATCTAAATTTGGTGTAGGCATAAGATAGACATTGAATCGTTCTGGAAAAAAAAGAAAAGCACAGAATAAGGCATTGCCAGTTAAAGCAGGATTTTATACTAGGGGAAAAAACTTTAGTTTAGTCGTTAGTTACTGAAGGTTCAGAAATCAAGGCCAAATTTCTAGCCTTAAACAGAGGTGAGGACCCACCGCTGTCGAAGAAGCCTTGTTAGTGTACACGACAGGCATAAAAGGAGAATCTTCTGCATTTCAGTTTCATTATAAATAATGCAGCAGACTGAAACGTCTTTCACAGACGATCTGCACAGTCCTCTGACACACGTCCCCAGTAACTGAAGTCCTTCATCCTCACATTAAGGTCCATGACTCTTTGCAAATCAAAATTCATAATGACTTGAACTCTGCCAGAGAGTTCTACCTCAAAGAACAGAGCTACAGGTATCCTGGCAAAACGTATGTACACTGCCCCTTAGAAAAACTACCCTTGAAATTACAAACCTAGGTTTACTTAGTCAAGCTCGCTAATAATTCTGTTCTTTGTATTCAGTTTCTCTTTATTTGCCAAAGTCATTATCATTTGTCAAATTAATAACATTTTTAATCATCTGTTGCTTTCTTGAAAAATCTGATTCAACACAATATATTATTATGGTCGTGACAGCAATTGCTATCAGCTGCACTTCCACTGCAAAGTGCACTCATTGCAGAAAGAGGTCAAGGGCATTAATTTTTTGAAGTGCCTGAATTACATGTGATTTAACACTCGGTGCAAAAATTAACCTTAAAAAAAACACAACACCAAGGAAAAAGCCCAAGATTATATAAACCACCATTAACTTATATGGAAGGAAGCAAAACACAGTTAATAGCAAGAGAATTTTAAATAAAAATGCAATATTATTGGAAGAATAATTAACGTTTCTATGAGTTGCCTCTACAAAGAACAGAAAACTCAGTTAAATTTCAGGTTTTCACAGTATCCTCATAAAAATTAGGAAGCAATTCAAAGCAATGAGAAGAGGAATAAAGTAAGGGAAAATTACCATAGCAGCCAAAATTAGATGCAGCTTCCCATTGCATTTGACATTCAAAATCACAGACATTATGTCTCCACATTTTAAACTTTTGTTACATAAATATTTTTCTGACAAATAAGTGAAAATATTGCACATAAGTGAGTTAATATGTTAGAGGGAGGTGCGTGCGTGTGAATAAAGTAGCAAAAGTTTGTCTGGGGAAATAATGGGAGCAGGAAACTGCTGGGTGAGCAGTAAGAATTGCCATCCTGCATAGCTATAAGTAAACTTGTCATCCCCAATGTTATTCTGTTTCAGTCAATTTAATTTTGTCCTATTAATGACTCCCCAATTGATCCATTCAGTCTCATAGCCATTCAATCTCTTCTCCCAGGCTCTAGTTCTCATTAATCACACTAATGGGAGTTAGCCCTAAAAGTTCCATTTTATGACTAAGATCCCAAGTGTGAAACTCCTGATGTTTTGTAGAAGTCTTCTGACACGCAGCAGAAACAGATTAGCAGGTGGGCTCAGATCACTGCAATGCATTTTGCCTCATCCTTAGAGGACTGCACTGGGTGCAGGTCTAACCTAACACCTGCTAAAGCAAATGGAAGGACTCACACACGGAGTGTGGGTCAATGACTGCCCCGGGAAGGGGATGGCAGGGAACAAGATAAATTATACTTTTCCATGGATTGACACATAGCTATCTCTCTATACGCCCTTTTTCAGTACCCATATGTCATTGTGATGGTCATGGAAAAATGCCCAGGAGCTATGCAGGTGTGCTTTTATGATATATTAGACTCCAATTTTGTGCACTCTCATACTGTTATGCATCGTTACCTCCTCTATTTGAAAGAAAGATGCAGATGACTGACATATCAGCCAGCTCTCTTTTACATTACATGAAACCAAGCAATGTGTCTATGGGGAAATGAGACTGCTATATGAGAGCAGAAATCTTTCCCTTTCCTTGTCTCCACCAACAGAGTGCCTCAGACAGCAAAGAAAATGGAAAAGTACAATTTTCTGAAGTAAACATTAAACTGTTGTGTTGAAGGCACAGAATATTTCAACTTGATTTAGAAGCTACCAGGATCCTCACGAAATGCTCAACTTCCCTGAAGTGTTTGAGGATATTATTGCATGAAGGGTATTCAGGACATATGGTATCCTCAAACTGTCAGGAGACGTTTGCTGACTTTGCAGAGGAGGTCAGTGTCTAAGGTGAGGTGTCATGGATTAAAGAAAGTATGTCTGATTAAACTGAACATCAGCTGCAGGGCAAAATGTAGCACCCCTGGAACTCACTCAAATTGGCAAGAAAAGCAAGAGTGCAAATGTGCTGGAGAAGACTGAGGATGGATATATTTACTTTTGAAAGAAAAACTGATTCTTTTGAGTAGTGGAAGACTGAGGACATAGAAAGGTGTAGATATTATCAATTGATTGTAGGAATTAAAATGCAGGGTCCAATTTTTCCATTCCAGAAAATACTTGAACAGGCATCTAGGTAATGGTAACACACAATCATTCTGGTTTTAGAGGCAGGTTTTGCCCTTAAGCTCATCAAAGCAGAAGCAAAAATTCATAGGCGAGATTTGGAAATCCCAGCTGGATTCTCTTACCAGATCTTCTGAGTCAAATTTAATAGGTTATTTAGCTTCTCTGTGGGTCAGACACCGTCTGTATATGAGCGGCATGAGATAATAACAGTTCATTGAGTAATAAGGTTAAGTAAATAGAAGTTAATGAGGAATCCAGAAAATAGGGAGATAGAAGAAACCAACCATGTAGATGTTACTCTGTTGGACAAGACAGGGCTGAGACTGAGCAGGTGCAGTTCTTCAGCATTCAGCATCACTGTCCTCCTCCCTCCTCAAAAACTGGTGAGAGCAAAGTTCAGGGAGTGGGGAAGCCAAGGTGAGAAAAAAGTGATGACATACTACTACACATATTATCCCACTCTTTTCAATGTAACTGCTCTTTGCCATCTCCTTGAATAAGCAGACCAGTGCTTCATTCTACACCTTGTGCATGTAAAGGTGTTTAGCATTTGGGCTCTGGCAAGAATATGAACTTTAATAACGTTTTCCAGAGCACAGGAGCATAAGAGTCTTTGTTAAAAAGAGCATATTGACTCAGACAGAGACTTGGCAGCAACTCTGAGATGCTTTCAGCCTTCCAACTCAATGTCCAGCTGTACTGGGGAAGGAAAATGACTGAGGCCCAGTGGTCCTTGTTCTGCCATTTTATCTCTGGATTCCTTTGCCTAAATCATCCCAGCTGGAAAACACAGCAGATGACACTATGACACTGCATTCTTGCAATCCAGATGCTTTCTTTCATTTCAGCTTTAGTAAGACAGGAAAACTACTTATGGAAGGAGGCTGTCAGACTGGTGGGGTCTATACACAAAGAAGCTTTGAAAGCAAATATTCAGGTTCTGTCTGGAAGAAATTACTCCAAACTAATAGGAGACTTCTGCTGCTGATCTTCTGTAGCTAATTTTCAGGTGGAAAAAGAGCTTTAAGTCTTGAAGTCACAACATTTTGTATTCACTCATATGTCAGGTCTATTAGAACGATTATCTCCTGCTTTAGACAGTGAGGAATCAGGACTCTAGAATTAATTTTATCACTTTATTATTATCCTCCTTTGTTTCCACTGTTTATGAACATCTTGATGAAAATATAAAGGTTACCATAAATACTATTAAATTTTTTCACTGATATATATTGTTAGAGAAGAACCTGAAATCTCACTGAATTAACTTGCCATTAAACCTGTAAGCACCTTTCTTTTCTGAATAAAGCTGGCTAAGTTTGGTTTATTTCTAAAAAATAAGATGTATAAAAATGGATTAAGGATAATAAAAGATGAATAAAATATCCATGCAAAATGCTTTTATGTAGTCAATCACAAACAGGGATTCCACAGACCTTAGAAAATGCCCTAAAAGAAGTCAGCTCTGTGAATGTAATTACAAACTCTCTGTGCTTTGGCTGTACCTTGTAATCTCAATACGCAGCTAAAGAAATAACTCATAATCCTCTTCTGAGGATTCAAGGACGTTGTTCACTATGAAATGCTACATTTTTGCTAACAGAAATTAATGAGTTTCTTGCAATTAAAACCCAGGATGCAAGACTGCTGTACTGTGGAATGGTTTTAACTGAAAAGGGAAGGTAAAACAAATGTTATGAAAAAAGAAAAATTATACAAAGGAAGTAATTTTATGAGGTATGAATGTAAATATCAGGGAGGGAGTTGAAGTAAAAAATCATTTATCTTTTAAACTTTTCCAGAGTTATAAGATCAATATTAGCTTCATAATGCATTAAAAATGCCAAAGCACCAGTAACACATAACAAAAAAGCATCATATTGACATCACAGGTGTGACACCTAACAATAAATGAGCTACAGTGAGGAGAGATGGATCACACCATTTCTTCAGTTTAAAAATCAGCATTTTTACTTTTGCCTACTTTCTTCACTGTTTATATCAGGTTTACAATTTTAACAGGATGATTTAGCACAAGTATTCAGCTTTTTTAGTGTTATTATTTAGTATTTACAATAGAGAGGAATAGAATCTTCACCAAAGGGAAGGACCTGCTCTTAGGGTGAATTTAGTAGCACTATATTCATGTAATGCTTTTTTAACCAGTCTTCAATAGTCTGGTTTCTTTTTCACAGTAAACACAGTCTGTCACTGTACACTGTCCATTCAGATCACTTTTAATTACTTTTTATAAGGAACAAAAATACAGTGACACATTGGAAACAATATTTATTAAAGAAATCATAAGTCTGGACAGATTCCAGATGTAATGGCACCTGGGCAGGTAAAAATATTTTAAATAAATAGATATGTTTTTGTATGCTTTGGGGTGTATTACAAATTATTTCAAATGCAGTGAGAGCTGGAAATGAAATTTCCACTTCTTCCAGATGAAGACAGCACTCCACATTCATGATTTCTTTCTTTTTTAGCAGCTTGAGAAACCTAAGGAATATGAAATGTTTGTCCAAGTTTCACAGGATATTGCTCAGAAGGCTACTTGTCAACAGTGGTATCAGAT